TAGGAGCCACTGACTATGTATCTGCGGTGTGTTTGCTGTGTGTTTGCTGTGTGTTTATATGTACACGAGGGAAGGGGTGTGTGGCTGTGTATGGGGGAGGGTTTCTAGGAAAGGGATATACAGGTTCTGAGCAGGGCTGCATATACCAGCAGAATGGGGCCTACCTGCATAGGTGAGTGCACCTACAGACTGGGAAGGGTGTGGGTGAATCTCTGTTCTCTTGAGTATAACCAAGTTGGTGAGTGGGTGCCAGTGTGTGTGCCTGCCCTAGGGTGTGTGTATTTCTGAGTATGTGTTGGGGGTGCTACTTCTTGCCTCTGCAGGCAGGTTTTCCTGGCTGCAAGTCCAAGAGAGAGAGCTGTCTGGAGGATTCTGAGGTTGCTTGGGTGTCCCTGCCTGGGGCCTCTAGGTTGGAGCCTTAAGACCTATGGGGGGGTGAGTGGGCCATCTTATGAAGTATCTGTTTGGGAGATGGGTTTTTCTAGAAAAGGGGGTATGTGGTGGGGCCTGGGAGAGGGGTTCTGTTGGCGGTCATAGAGGAGTCAGGGAAGAGTAAGAGCCTCTTACTCCTACTCCAACACAACATCTAGTTGGATTCTAGTGCTTGGTTAGGCCCAAGTTCAGTCCCACAGGCAGAGTTCTCTCGGGTCTGACTGCTTCGGAGTCCACCAACCCTGTGCAGGATCCTGCAGTTCTGATGTGTCTGGAGTCTGGGATGGAGGCCCGAGGAAGGACCGTGCCTGGGACAGAACGACCTGGGTAGAGAAGGTGGTACGAGAACTCGGGATGACAGGAGGGTGTTGCCTTAGGAGTTTCTGCAAGTGTGTCGGATTGGGATGGGGGCCTGGGCCTGGCCAGAGTGTGAGGAACAAGGACTGTGCTCCAAAGAGGGCGGACACCATAGCTAGGGAAGCGTGGGCACCTTTGAAGCTATACTCATCACCACCATGGAGACACAGGAAGCCATCCAGGAGGTAGATGACTCTCCCCGGAGGAAGCATCTACCTTCTCCCCTCGCCTCTCCCGTGCTTTCTCTTCTGGGGTGAGCTCCTTCAAGTGCATGCTCCTCATCGTTCTCTCAGCCATTTCCCTCTTGCTGCGAGGTTGGGTCCAGACACCAAGTTTGAGGAGCTGAGGCTGTGACCTCCCCTTGCCCTCCTGGGGCTTCATTGGAATTGGAATGTTAGAGACCTTCATGCATGCGCTGTTCAGTTGGAATGTTCCCTCTTTAGCCCACAAGGTTCCCCACCTTTCCTAAAGTCCTGGGATAAAGGAAGTGAGATTTAGAAAAAGTGGCCCCTACAAGTAGGGGCAGCGTAGAAAAAACCTTTTTCTTAAAAAAAGAAGGGGGGGCCTCCCCAGTGGTGCAGCAGGTTGAGCGCAGAGCTAAGAAGCTGTGTGCAGCCTCTGCAGCATGGGCTCGATTCCAGGCCAGCCAGGGAGATTCCCACATGGCGCGGTGGACCTCTTCTGTCTTGCCCGCTGCTCCCCTCAGCAGTGCTTTTGATCTGTCTGCTACTTCTGCTCCCCGCTCTGTCTCTGGTGAATCCTCTCACCCTTTCGCGCCTCTGGCCTGTACCCCAGCTCCTGTATAAATAAATAAATATTTAAAAAAATGCACAATTCCTCCAAACTTGGCACCTGCCTGAGGGTGGAGGCTAGGGTAGGGAGGCATAGCATCTAGGATGCTGTTCTTAGCCTTCTGGGGTGCCTGTTGGCTCTGTGTGTTCTCACTGCATTGTACTTGCGGGGTGCTCTTCCAGGAAGGAGGGATGTGGTTGGACAATGAGAGTGTGCCATCTTGAAAGTACTTCCAGACTGGAACCCCTGGCCTCATGGTTGTTCCCCCCTCTCCCGCCATTGCCCAAGCCCTACCTTCTGCCTTCTCGAATTCTTCCAGGCCAGGCCCACTGATGTGTCCCCTCTTGCTCCTGCTCCTTCTAGCTCCTGGGAAGGCCTGTTCCTAGACTGAGAGCAGAACAGATTTCTATCTGCTTGTCTGGGATCCAAGAGATCCTTCTGGTTAGGGGGGTGTAAAGTTGACTGATGGAAGCTTTGGAGGGGGTAACAGGACAACATCTGGGGCTTCCCTCCTCCTCTCTGGGTTTTAGGGACTCTAGTGTTATCCTTTGCTCATTGCCTCTTTAGCGGCTCCTCGCACTGGGAGACCGGAGGAAAGAGTCAGACAGAGGTGGTTGGAATCATACTTTTTAGTGGTGTGGTGTCGGGCAAGTTCTTCCATCCTTGTCCTCAGCTGTCCTCCAGCTCGGGACTGGTTCTTCCCAAGGAACCCCAGCTGCCCCCATGACGCCTTCCTGGGATTTCAGCTTGCTCTTAATTCTGGTTCTGCCACTTCCTAGTTCTTTGACCTCAGACAAAATAGATAACTTTTTGAAGCCTCACCTGTAAATTGGAGTTAATGATAGGCCCTGCTCTTGGATTTATGAGAATTAAATGAAGTAATACACAGGGCACTTCACACGGTGCCTGGCACGGGCGGCCCTTGGTAAGTGCTGGCTGGTTTGGTTCTGGTTCTGATTGATGGCTTGTGGGGGAGGGTTGGGGCCGGGAGGAGAGGTGGGCTTTGGTTCCACCCTTTTTCTGACAGACCACATCGGGTGCTGCCTCCCACATGCCCTGCTCTGGGGGACGCACTGGGATGGAGGGGGAATCAGTTGACTCATGGGGAGACGTGTATGGACGTGTCAGTCCATGTCAGTCCATGAATCCGTGGGTGCTCTGTGGTGATGTGTTCCGGAGGTACTGGAGCGCGGGGTGGAGTACTTGACCCTGATAGATGTCAGGGAAAAAAGCTGAATTAAAAAAATTGAGATGAAATTCATATTACAGAAAATCAGCTATTGGAAAGTGAACTATGACAGTATATTCAAAGTGTTGTGCAACCACTATCTCTAGCTAAAAACATTGTTACCATCCCAAAAGGAAACAAACCTTCATCCATTAAGCAGTTGCTCTTCACTTCCCCAACTTACCCCCATCTACCCACACCCCCTCTTTTGTGTTCTGTCTCTATGGATTTACCTGGATATTTCATAACAATGGAATTAAACCTTTCGTGTCTGGCTTCCCTCACTCAGCATGATCTCATCCATGTTGTAGCATGCATCAGAACTTAATTCCTTTTCTTGGCTACATCATATTCCAGTGTTGGCTTGGGCTTGGTTGGAGTTAAAGGATGAGTTAGGGGACAGGGAGGGAACTGAGGAGGTTGCTGTGAGCGGGTAGGGTTGGGTGTGTGTGAGCCACACGCAGGTGGGTACTACTGGCTCTCGAAGAGTGAAGTGGGATTTGCCTTCCACTTCCTTCCCTATAAAAGGAAGTCTGGTGAGGGTGGTAGGGATGGGGCCTTTTATAACTTGCTCTTTTCTCCTCCTTCCTGGGTATGAGCTGCCCTCTCCCTATGGGGGCCCATTTTCCTATCTTACCTGGCACCAGTTCCCCTCTCCGAATTGACCTCGCACCCTATGCTGGTTCGTGAGCTTCTTCATGAAGACATGTTGGTAGCAGAGGTGAAGGGAAGGCCTGGGAGTAAATCCTACTCACACCCAGTACCCTTGACCTTGCCTTCTCTCCTCCCACCTTTTCTCCTGGTGATCTCACTTGGGCACCCTGTCACCTCATCTGTTGTGATCTGGGGAGAAACGAGGTGGCCAGGGGATCTCCTTTTCATCCACCCTGACCAGCACAGAATAGGAGGCAAAGGCCTTTGTATGGGGTGGGGGGCCCCTTGGAAATGAGGTGTTGTGAGCTGGTCTGATGCCCCTGGCAAGACTGGTAATTACAGATGTGACAGCTGGGAACAGACTTGAGAGAAGCAGACCTGGAATCAGCAGAGTTGAGGATATCCCGGGAATCAGGGTGGGGCCGTGAGAGGGGAGAGTAGGAAGAAGCTAGGGGCTGGGGTGGGGCTTGGGGGCCCTGCCACCCCCAAAACAACTGGCTGGACTTAGTGCCTCCAGGAGAGGTGGCGGTGATGGGGCCCCACCCTTCCTCACCGTCAGTGTGTGTGTTGGCAGGGAGGAGAGAAGCTGGGGGCTCTGGGAGCCCTGAGGACCCAGGAAAGAGTCGGAAGAGGGGTGGGGGGTTCCCTTTTGGGGTGTGATCTAAGTTAAGGAGAGGCCTTCGCCACCTGGGGGCTGGAGTCAACAGTGTGCCCCAAGGTGATTTCAGCTTATTCTGGATGGGATCTTCCCATAGTGAGGCTAGGGGAACAGGAAGTGGAGGGAACGGGCAGTGGAGGGGAGGGCTGTACACCCTCTAAAGGTAAAAGAGGTTGGAAGCCACTGTTTTATAGACTATCTGGCCTATTGAACTAGTGGCCTACTGTGAGACTGTGTTTACATTATTTTGTTGAAAACTTAAGCATCCCAAGTAGTCACTATCATTCCCACTACGATAACTGAGGTTAGGGAGGATGGGCGTCCCATCCAAGATAAGGTAGCTTCTAAGGCGGTGCGGGACTGTGCTCTTCTGCTTCTCGGAGTGCTCCCTCTCCACCTCTCTCTCTTTTCAATGAGTTCTAATTTTACTCATTTTTGCCTTTAACCTTTAGCTTGAATTATTCCCCTAGATCCCAAAAAATAGACTTGCGTCCAGATGTCAATCTGAGGGGTAGAGAAGTCACATCTCAGGTCAGGGCCACCTGGCAGAATCTGTTCTGGGCTGGCCTCTACCTTCTCCTGGGCCTCTGCACACATGGGGCACTGTAGCCCATGGGGTCTTTGAGATCAGGAGATGCCTGGCCCTCATCTTGAATTTTCTAGCATCCTCCTGACAATATCCTGCAGACTCCCACTTTCACCAGACCTCCTGGCCCCCAACCTCCTGCCAGGGAATGGAGTGCATGTTTGCATGTGATCTGGGGCAGGGGCTCTAGCTTTTTAGGGCAAGTACTGGTGGGGGTGTGCAGGAGCAGGTGCTGCGCCTGAGGTGTGAAGGCAGTAACTTCAAAACAATAGAGTGTGAACAGAACACTTATTTTGTCCCTTTATTCCAGGAATGGAGGTGGGAGTTGCGGGGGTGGGGGTGGTAGGCTTGGAGTCTCCTAGAAAAGAATGGACACTTCAGTGGTGGGTTTGTCCAGACAGTGGGTCTTGGGTGATCCTTGGGCTTCCGCTGGTTTGGTTTCCTTTGATAAGACCAGGCTAATTTGCCAGACTGAGCCTGGGGTTGAAGTGGAAGAGGTTTGCAGAATGGGGAGCCCTGGCTTGCCACCATACCCCAATCACCCTGTGCCTCCCATCTGTAGCCCCCACACCCTGTTTTCCCATAAAACAGCCTCTGTGCTAGGACCCCACATCCCCTGCACACCTGAGGTGTGCACCCCCTTCTGTAGCTGTTCCTGCCCCCTTCCAGCAGAGGCAGAGGGCTGCTGGTGGGCTGTGATATCAGGCACAGTTGGGGCTACCTCAGATTCAGGCTGTGAAGGGCTGGAGTGTGCAGGCCCGGGCGGGGGCGGGAGGGTTTGCTGTGGACAGAGCAGCTTCCACATCTCCCATGTCCACTTTCTGCTGTTTTCTCTGAGGGCAACTCCAGGGGCCTGTTTCTTTCTTGGCACTTCCACAGCTTACCTGGTGGGCAGGTAGGGGCCAGTCCCACACCGCAGAGGAGGGAGGAAGAACCTGGTGGGTGGGAATTTGGGTCCTTCTGTTGGTGGAAATGAAACAGGGCATCCAGGCTTCTAGAGGCTTCAGTTGCCTCTCATCAGCCTAGCATCCTGCCTCCCCCCTGGCCCCCACCCGGGACTCATGCCAAGGGGATTACTCACCCTTCTGCTGCCCCCCTCCCAGCGTTCCTCCCAGACTAACTGGGAATGGCTTTGGTAGAGGCTATGGAATTAGGTGCTGAGGTGTGTGTAGTGTGTGTGTCTTTGTGTGTGTCTCTGTGTGTGTCTCTGTGTGCGTGTGTGGTAGGGGCCTGGGCAGGGACTTTCTGAGAGCAGGGTAGAGGTGAGGGTGCCAGAGGGAAAGCAGAGCAGGTCTTTACAGAACCTGCCAGGCCAGGGTGGGTGGAGCTGGGTGGGGCGGCAGGAGCCTTTCCAGGTTTCAAAGGGGGTATGCATGTGGGTGTCCCTGTGTGTGGATTTAGAGGGTACCCAGTCTCACGCCTGCCTCAGATGGAGGGAAATGAAGGAAGTAGGTGGAGAGGGACTTGGCTGTGGCTCCCCACCTCCTTTTCGGCTAGAATGTGAGCTCAGGTATCCTGGCGGGGAGCCCAGGCCTTGGCCGCCCCCGAGGTGCCCCTTGCCCGGGGGTCTGGTGAGGAGCCGCTGCACTGGGAGCGGGAGCCTGCATCTCTCCCCTGCATTGGCCCATGGAGGAGAAGGACTTTGCCCCTGCCCTGGGGCTGAGGATGGTGAGCTCACGTCTGGGCTGTCCTGGGAGAGGCCTGGTTAACCGGGTGCGGGTGGGGTGCTTGGCGCCAGCTCCTGGGCTCCCTGGCGGGCTCCTTCCTATCCCTCCACTCGTTGAGACCAAGCTGCTCTCCAGCCCCCTGAATGGCATGGTCACCCATGGGCCTCAAGGCCTTTTTCAGGGCATAGGAATGCCCTCAGTTTTGGTCTGGGGCCTGGGGCTGGTCCTGGCCCATTCTGTGTCGTCAGTCTTTGTGCCTTTTTGTGGTTGGAAACAGCAGGCGTGGAGCCTTGGGATGGGTGTCTTATCCATGCCGGAGGCCCACTGAGAATAAATGGGTGACCTCAAAAATCCCTCGTTAGATCTGTGGATGGCAGCCTCCTAAGCAAAAGGGTTTGTGGGTCTTGACTGTCAAGGCTCAGGGCTATCTAGTCTCTGCCCTTGTCACTGGTAAGAGGAGGGAGAGAGCAGGAGTCAGTGAATTCTCTGCCATCTTGCTATTGTTTCTTTAGGCCATTCCAGGGGGATCTGGCTCCAGGTCATGGTGTCAGTAAGATGTAGTGGTGAGCCACGGACTTTCTCTGGGCCCCACCTTTTACCTATAACATTGGGGTCACACTTGAAGGCTCCTTCCCGCTGTCTGGAACCTGCTGAGAACTGAGTGGAGCAGTGCCGTTTCCTCCTGGCAGGGGAGAGGTGGGTGTGGATACAGTCAGGGACCCTGGCACCCCCGACAGCCATAGGTGCTATAATGGCTTCTGCACTCTCTGCACTGGATGCTTCCCCTGGTGTCTGACAGGGTGGCCTGGATTATCCAGGGCACTGGGAGCAGGGTGGCAGAGAGGAGGACCAAAGACTTTGAAGAGGCCCCTCCCTGCCTCACAGCAGCCCGTGAGCAGACCTGCGCTTCTGGGACACTGGGCCGGGAGCAGGGCTCCTGTGCCCCTAGCACATGGTACTTCCACTGATGTTCTGGAATCAGAGCAGTGGTGGGTGATGCTCGCCATCTCATCCGGGCAGTGGCGAGGAAGAGGGGCTTGGCACGTGTGGCTGCACCAAGTCTTTCTGTGGGAATCAGAGACCTTTTCAGGAGGGCACTGCGGAGGCCATTGTGCCTCTTCCTCTGTGTCCAGGCAGGACCACCTTCCCTTATCCCGAACTGAGGAGAGGAAGGCCATTTGTTGAAAAACAGTGTTTCCTGAGATCTGCTTCTGGCAGAGGGAAGCTTGTCTTCTTGCCTGCCTTCCCATCCCTTCCCCTCTCCTGTAGTAAGTTCTTTCTAGAATCTGGTGCCTCCTGTGGTCCTGTCCTTCAGAGGTGAGGAACAATAGGTGCCCTTTTAGTGCCCATTTATGCTCTCTCCCCTCCCACCTCTTCTCTGACCAGTCCCCCTGGCTCCCACAGTGCATCTCTGCTTGGTTCCCTTCCCTGCCCCAGCCCTGCAGGGCCAAGGACCAGGCAGCAGGATGGGCTTAGCTGGAACAGGAGGAGGAGGAGGCAGCGGTTAGAGCTGCCTGCCATGGTTGTGATCTCACTGCCCATGTCTGTGCTCGCTCCGGGCCCGTCCACCTGAGTTCCTCTTAGCGGGGCTGTGGGAAGGGTCCAGCTTAGTTCGCCAGCTCCCAGCTCCCCCTCCCAAAGCTCCCTCTCCCCACTCCTACCCCAGGCCTTGCCCCTCTGCCTGTTGCCAGGTTCTGAGTGTGTTTTTTTCCAGAGGCCTCTGATTGTTTCCTAAAGAAACCCGATCCCAGAGCTCAGACAAAAGCTGGGGCCGCCAGAGGAGAAGCCCCATTCTCTCCTGCTCTGTCCCTAACCCCCCAACCTCCATAACCTCCTCGCTTTGGATGCTGGGTATGGGTTCCAGGACCTGGCTGCCATCACCTAGGCAACGGGGGGCTTTGGTTGCCATGGTGATCAATGTGGGAGAAGCTGGGCAGCCGGGACAAAAGCCCCCACATCCCCCCAGCCCTCCCCCCAGTCCCCTTGGGATGATACTGAGACACATTCCATTAATTTTATTTCTGAAAGGCCTTTGAGGGGAGAAGGGCTCCTTTTTGTGCTGGCCTCTCTCCCTCCCTCTCTCCTCCTGGCCTTCTTTTAACCCCAGATAATCCATGGTTGGTTTAAGCAGGGACCCAGTGAGTGTGTCTGTGTTTGGGGGTGGGGGCAAGGTGAAGAGTAACTGGACACAGTCCCTTTTACAGCCTCCCACCCCAAAACCAGGGCACCCCTGCCCTGCACGGAGTCTGACTTCTCTCCCTGTTTCTACTTGTTGCTCTCATCCAGAGGTCCCCTCCCCCGCTGTTCCCTGGGAATGCTGCCCACCCGGGAACCCTCCAAATTCCCACCCCAAGACCCATGAACAAGGGGAACGTCTGCCCTTCTCTTAGCTCACCTCCCACCCCTCCCCCAGCCTTGCAGGTCATTGGATTCAGTGCCTGGGGTACTTGGAAGCACAGCAATCAGGGCCTGGGAAATCAGGTTCAATTTTGTGCCCTCTCTTTGGGAGGGGAGGAGCACCTTGTGGTGCTTTTGGGCACTCTGAGTGGGCTTGGTGGGAGGAGCAGTCCAGGACATCAGGGCTTAAGTGCGTCTTCCCTGTGGGTAAGGTGGGGGCTCTAGGCTGAGCAGCTGGAACTGAGGGCTGGGAGGGCCAGCACCTTGTCTGGTTTGAAATTCCTCTTCAGGGCAAACACGATGGCGTCAGCTTCCCCTTTGGGTGCATTTGAGGTGGTGGTTCAGAGGTGTGTGTGTGTGTGTGTGTGTGTGTGCATGCACACGCCCGTGGCTTCTTTATTTAGTTGCACAAGCAGCAGGATTTATTTATACCACCTCTTTCTCAAGTCTCAGAAGTGTCTGGGGATTGAGTGTGAGTGATCTGGGGCCAGAGTGTATCAGTTGCTAATTAATTACTAGCTGAGCAGCTTATAAAAGCCCTTCTTTCACTCCCATGGTCCTCATAGCAACCCCAGGGAGTATGTATCAATTCCCCCCTTCCCTATTTTACCCATGAGCCTATCTGGCTGCAAAGCACAGAGAAGTCAAGTCAGTTGCCCATGGCCTCACGGGTAGGCAGTGGGAGAGTTGGTCATGCTTTTTGAACCCAGATCCTTTGTGCAGATCCCAGGCTTCTTGTGGCTCTGAAGACGTGAGTCAGGGTGATGCTGTGGGATGGAGAGTCCAGGTTCTGGGGTGTCTGTCTAGGCCCAGTGATGTCAGACATTACCCTTCATTTATCTGTGCCCCAGGCTGTCCATAGCCTCTCTGCTGGTGACATGTAGTCATAGGAGCACAGCTGGGGAGAGCAGGCTGGAGCACAGCTGGGGAGAGCAGGCTGGAGCATAGCTGGGGAGAGCAGGCTGGAGCACAGCTGAGAGATGCAGGTGAGGTGCATATTTCGCAGACAGGATGACAGGGGCCCTGCTGTGGCAAAGGTTTCCAGAAAGGTAGGGTGGGGTCATGGTATCCTGTCTGTCCCCTGAGGGTGTCTGCCACATACTTGCCCTTATACAGAGGTGCTAACAGATGCCACTGGGCCATGTGGGGCCTTCAGGCAGCTCTGTGGGGGGTGAGTACAGGGATTGAGCACTAATTTAGTCTTCTTCGGAAAGTGAGAGAGCCATATTCACTTCCCTGCTATCAGTGACTGGCTGGTGGCCCGGAAGGGTGGTAGACACAACATGTGTCAGAAATAGTTCTTATTCTCAAGTTGCTAATGGGGAATTAGTTGGGGGAAAGTTAACAGCTACACAAAGCAAAACCAAGAACTTAGTTCTTGAAGTAATTGACCTCTCGGCACCCCTGACCTGGCTGATTGTACCCCATCTGGAGACAGAGTTCTCAGTGCCACGAGACCCCTACCAGCTCCTCTCTGTCTGCTCCTTTCCCTTAGGTCATGGTCCTATATGAGAGCTCTCAAGGGCCCTTATTTAACACTCTCCTTAGGTGACCCCGTTCATTCCTATGACCTTGTATTCTCTTCCGAGTCCAACTCCTCTGACAACCTGCCGCCTGCTGGCTGTGTACCTAGGTAGAACCGTATGCTCCCCCATCTTGCTTCCTTCCCAGTTTTCCCTCCTTACTAAGGACTCTGCCAGCTCTTCTCTTGCTCTTGACATGCCCTGCCTCCCGCCCAGTGCTCAGGAGTGCTGTTGGCCCTACCACTGTCTATCTCCAGCATGCCTGTGTCGCCCACCTCGGTAACTGTCCGCTCGTGCCCGCCCCACTGCCTCACTCATTGTTACAGAGCTAAAACCTTCCCATTGTCCTTAGAATAAACCCCAGCTTGTTCTCTGGCCCACGGGACTTGCAGTGACAGGCCCCCTGCGCCTCTCAGCGTTGCCTCCTACTGCCCTGTCTCCTCCTGGCCAATGCAGGTGTCCCTGGCCTTAGTTGTTCCAGAGCCACACTGGGCTCTCTGCTGCCCTTGGCTTTCCCCTGTGGACATGTGCCCTGGGTTTTCCCCTGTGCTCTGCTGCTTCATTCCCACTCTCCATCCTTGGGGCTATAGCTTGTTTTCTAGGACTTTCTAGAACTTCTCAAATGAAAACAGATCCCCCACTCCCCCCATGGCTGTTGCAGTCATCTGTTCTACCCCTCGGTTATCTCTTCGTGTTTACTGCTGGGCGTGTAACTTGTGGTCTGTCTCATCTCCGGGTACCAGCTGAGCAGAGCCCATGGTTCACAGGACTGAGCAGCAAGTGGTGACAGGAAAGAGCACTCAGGTCTGGGGAGGGTTACGGTGGAGTAGGACATTGGGGGGATCAGAGGGGGGTGAGGACATTGGGTGCAAGAGAGGTAGGGGCATCTGTGAGAGTGGGGACCTCTGAGGACTGAGCAGGATTTGGGTGAGAGTTGGAGGAGAGTCATCCTCCTCTGCAGGATTCAAAGGTGAACTGGAAGAAAGAGGTGGCTCCTTGCCACTGGACCAGCTGGAAACTCACCACCTTGATGTTACCGCCAAGTGTCTGGGTTCTCCCCTGACCAGTGTCTCTTCCTCATCCCTGCCCCTGGTGTGCTTGTGCACACACACTCCACACACTCATGTACACATCCACCCATACATACTCGCATATCCATTCACACAGACCCACTCAGACCCGTGCACACACATTCACATGCATAACCCATGCACACACACTGTCATATGCACACGCTCATACCACACCCATATACACATTTACACTCACAGTCCCACCTGCTCACACACTCATACAGCTCACACGCACCCTCACACTCACGTACATAGAGCATTGAGGGGAGTAGGCCCTGACAGGAACTATGGGGTGTGTGTGATGTACGAGATGGTGCAGACGTGTGGGCAGCCTTGTGGGTGTCCCAGAAACTGTGAGAAGGGGCAAGTAAGTAGAGGGAGGAGAGGCCTGGCAGCTTCTGGACAGAGCCAGCTGTTTTCTGCCCTCTAGGGTGTCTGCTGGTCGAGTGGTCAGCCTGGTTGGACCTGGCTTCTCGAGTTTGAGTTTTCCTGGCTGCTCTGGTTCTCTTTCTAGGGCTCCAGGGTTGGGTCATTCTGGGTGGCCTTTACAATTGTCTTTTCCCACCCGTGAGCTCTTGGCATAACTGGGGGGTGCAGGACTGGAAGAACTGGGCCTGTTGCACAGAGCAGGAGCCTGGGTGGAATATTATTAGGTGGAGACTGGGTACACTTGTTCAGGGGAGGCCTTCTTCTGCCCTTCTGCCCACATTAGTTCCAGTTACCCTAACCCACTGTTTCTCCTCCTTAGGATCGTCGCTTGATTTTCTCTGAGACAAGCCCACTCTTCCAGCAAAATAGAGTCCCTCAGGGTGACAGTGGATTTCCTGAAGGTCCCCCTTGGCCTGAAGAAGCCAGTGCTGAAGGAGGTGGCTGTGGGGCCCCCCAAAAGGCCCCAGACTGTGGCCCTGGAGCGCTACAAGGCTCGGCGTTCAGACGCCATGGACACCGAGTCCCAGTACTCGGGCTATTCCTACAAGTCGGGCCACTCCCGCAGCTCCCGAAAGCACAGGTGGGCTGAGTAGGGGGGTGACACAGGTGGCTAAGGGAGGGCTCGGGGGCTTGTGAGGTGGATGTGGGTGGGTGGGTGGTCACTCTGTGCCTGTTCCCTCGCCTCCTCCTCCAGGGACCGCAGGGACCGACACCGCTCTAAGAGCCGAGATGGAAGCCGCGGGGACAAGTCGGTGACAATCCAGGCTCCAGGAGAGCCCCTGCTGGACAACGAGTCCACGCGAGGGGATGAGCGGGTGAGCCTCAGGGGTGTGTGTGGGCCAGACCCCATTTCCAGACTGTTCCTGGGGGAGGGAGTTGGGGGCTCCTTAAAGACAGGGTATCCTGGCAATGTGGGCTTTTCAGACAGACCAGTCTGGGAGGGTTCTTGTGTCCTGCTTCCTCTGCTTGGTGTCCTGAGGTCGGGCCTTATTGCAGTTGAATTTGAGGAATTTCCATTGAGATCCTTCTGGAAGCAGCAGCCTCTTCCTTCTTTACCTCTAGAGAGGTAGAGGATCCTGGGTGTGTGATGAGAATCTCCTGGTTCCTCAGGGAATCTGGAGTGGGAGGCAGTGGGTGGGCCTGGGGTGTGGTCACCCTGACTTTCCCTCCAGCCTTCAGCATGGACACTGGTGTCTGCTTGTGGAATAGCATCACCTGATCTTACAGAGAGAAGGTGAGGGAGGAGAGGACAAGAAAGGGAGGGGAAGTGAGGCTGGGGGTGTGCTGGGGATCTGGAGGGGTTCTCCAGGACAAGGAGAAAGAAGTCAGAACACAGGGCTGGGCTGGGGAAGACTCGGGTTGCCCATGTCTCATTCCACCTGTTTTATCTTCTTGGGAGCATCTTAAGGGCTGGAGACTCCAGCTTCTTT